CCTTCAAACTTTTTCTGTTGTAGGATGCAAAGCCGTTCTAACTATCAAATAAATCCTATTTGGGTTTTTAAAATTGAAGTCTTTTGATGAAAAACGACTTTTCTTTCGTCGAAAATAAACTTTGACTGAATTTTCCACTCCTCGAAACTCTCCTTAGTCCTTTTAAAAGTGCAATTTCCTTGCACGGTTGGCTTCAGGCAAGTATGGGCATGTTTACCTGAGTTATCGTTCCAGTCTTATTAGAGTTCACTGGTCACCAGACAAAATAGAGAGATAATAGCGCATTGTTTTTCTAAACTTTAAAATTCTAATGACGTCGGCAATTGACATAAAACGCTATAGAACATGCGCAATTATGTGATATGGCGCAAGCAACTGCTCACGTCAGGACATTTTGGAAGTTGTTTCAATTTGTTAATCATTCATCTGCGCGTGAAAATGGTCACCCGGTTTGAGCAGGGTTTTTGTCAGATAACTATATCGAGCGACCTTAAACATGAACGGGTTTTATAATTAAATAGCAAAACACGCACTGCCAGGAAAGTAGAAATAATGTGGATTAATTAGTAAAACACGATTGTGAATTAGAAATGATTGAGATTAGAAAAAATGCATATTAGCCCAATTTCCAAAAACAGCCATTGCAGTCAATTAACACTAAATACTGAATAACTGAATATAGTCTCGCTCTACCAAGTGAGTCCTGTCCACCTTGGACCAACTATACACAATTTACAAATTCAACCCAGTTCACGCTTGGCTAACTGAATCCAATCCGCATTTTACTAACTGAGATCAATGTGCGTTTTGGTCACTGATAGCGTTCCGTCTTTTACAAATCCAGCCAAATCCGCCTTTACTAACCGATTCCTATTGAATCCAGTCCGTTTACTAAATTAGTCCAATCCGCGTTTTCCTAATTCAGCCCATCCATGCTAGGCTGATTTGGTAAAGGTTACAATTAATGAAACGCGGATTGGACTTAAATAATATCACGCGGAGTGGGTTCGATTAATATAACACGGACTGGGTTAAATTAGTGAAACGTGGGTTGGACTAAGATAGAAAACGCTGTCTGCAATCGATTAGTAAAAGACGGACTAAACTCAATTCCTAAAGTGCAGACTGAACTTAATAATTGAGTCCAGTCCACCCTTGACTGATTGATCGAGTTCAATAATCCGCTTTACTTAATCACCAGTTCACGTTTTGATTGAGCCCAAGGAAGAATAGCCAACCTTTCCAGCACCCTCCAAAAGTTCAGCATCCAGCACCGACAAGTAGTGAGTAAAATAGCCTGGCATTAGGCAGAGTAAAATCATAAAGTAGGGTGCATGCAACCTCGCCAGTCAGGGTAATTTCAGCCCACGGGGTGCATGCTATGCATCAGGACACAATGCTACTCGATGGGTTAAACCTAATATTTGTGATTTGTAGTACTACCCACATTGTATTAATAAATAAATATGGATTTTAGTCTGGAAATTTGCTGGAATGACACAATTAATTCATGCCATTTGCTACTGTAAAATTATAAATATGCTGGATTTTTCTTATCTAGGCTGATGCTGAAAATTATGTGAAAAAGAAACCCACCTGAGGTCTTAATTGTTCAAAAAGATTCAAGAGTGGTGTTGTAGACATGTAGTGATGCACCATATGTTATTAAACCCATATTATGTTAAATGTTGTCCAACGTAGAAAAATAAGGGCCCTGGTCAGAATTCCTGACCTAAACTGGATAGATAACTTCATTTACATGATCATTGCTATCATAGGTTTTGGTCGTGATAAACAGAGAATCAGGTTATTGTGATTTTTAAATAGAATATGACTGCTTACCGTAACAATTATAACTTGTATGAATGTATATATAGTTTGTAAAACTTTTCCTTGTTAATCTATTATTATTATTTTAAGGAGGTAAACAAAGCAATGAAACCCCTGGGGGTAATATGGAGATTACAGTGGGGGGCAAGGGGCTATAATTATGTAGAGGGGGTAAGGAGGGAGGTTTAATAATAATTATTTCAAGCGCACAGGGCCGGACCACCTGTGATGTGTGGTGTAGCACTGTAGCACCCCCAAAGAGAAGCCAGGAAGGGAGTCTAATTTTTTGAAAGGTGGCCCCAAATGCTGAAATTGCCAAACGTGTGGAAATTTTTGGAATATTGTGCAAGATTTAAGTCAAATTTATTATCCCCGAGCCGACGGCGCGAAGCGCCGTGCGAGGGTACTAATTCCCCCCGGCTATTTACACCCGGGGAAACGAAAGCATTAGCGGAGTCTAAAGTTCATCAAATATCGCGGGCGTGGGTCACCAACGGTGTTGGGTGGGTGGTCATCCTCACTGATCTCAAAAATATGGCGGACTGTCACGAATAGCGGACACTGATTGGTCCAATTTCGGTTTGCATTATAACGACTGCATGACGACAGCGAAATAGCAAACATTTCTTGATTTGATTTGATGATTGATAAATTTCTTGCAAATATATTCCTTTTTTCTCGCATTTTTGCAAGATTTTGTAAATTTCAAAAGCTCTCTGAGAAAGAAACTGCGAAAGAATCGGCTAAAAGAAGGGAGCCGACGTTCACGAAGGTAAGTTTGTTTTAAATATCGATTTTATAATGGATTTAAAACCCGACGGCCTTTGCGTTTATGAAACAACTAAACAAGACAGCATATAATTTCAGTGTATCTTTAATATTGATTCCCTTTTTTATGATATTGAATTTTTTTAAATAAAAAAGAAAGCAAAGTTATTTGCAAGCGAGAATTTTAAATAATTTTATTGCAAATTCAAAGTTTATCGATAAAGCCAATTTAAAAGGCAGTTTAGTTTTATAAAGAACACTAGTGACTTTAAAACGTTTTGCGAAGCGTTTGTGGTTGAATTTTACCTTAAATTGAGGCTTATATTACGTATAATAACATACCTAACATATATATGTTGGGAAATTAATAATTTTGTAATTAAAAGTGATATTTTTAGGCGATTTTTCATTTGTAAGAATATTCTTAAAAAATTATCGTGTTACCGTGACAACTACTTTAGATACTTCATGTTCGGAGAATACAATGGTTTTGTCAGCAAGGCGAGGGTTTCTGCATGGATGTATTTTCTAGTTTTAGGTTGTACTGAAAACATGTAAAACCTTTTTGCGACATATCGGTTGGCACTGCCCTGCAAGAACAATGCAATAAACAAATCTCAAAACAATGTTTTCTTGTGTGATCTATCATATGACTTAATGGAGAATTTTTAACCAATAGAGTCGCATTGCGCCCTGATGTGCCCCATTATTTTACTTTTCAAGAGGAGAGCGCTTGCGCTTAAACGGTTAATAAGAGGGGGCTCAACAAATTTTTTCATCTAAATTGGACGAGGAAACTTGATAAGAAGATTAAAGTAGCAAAGTCAAAACTTTATCACAGGGCGCGCTTTGACGTATGATGCAACTACCTCAAAAGTAAGTTGTTTTTTCAAAATGTACAAGTTGGTTCTCATTTTTCAAATTTGGCTATGTACATTCAATTGTACACTCAAGCCTGCTAATTTTATATGGCAGTATCTTCATGTTGCTGGAACCAGTTCAATTTAAGCTTGGACAGGAGTAGGCCAGTAACTGAACAAACATTTCAGCAACAACTGGAAGTGATTTTATTTGACAATTTATAGCCATTTGTGATTTAATTAAATTTGTTTGAGGTCTGACTGGCATATAATATATTTTCCAGGTTTTACGCTAAACTGAAATCCAGTGGACACCTACAAACTGACTTATTTACTTTCTACTGTACACTGACACCAAATATTCAAGAACAAAAATTATCAAGCCAATACACCATTGCCCAGAAAGCTAGGTAAAAATGCTACCAGGTCAAGTGCCCACAGCAACCTGGGCTTCCCCGGGCACCCTTTCAGCACCCTTATGGCTCTACTAATTTATCACCAAAATCAAGTTCACTGTGAGTGATTCCATGTAAACTGGGGAAGAATGATGCTTGAAAACACTTGCAATAAATGGAAAAGAGGCCTCAATATAATTAATATAGTCATGACATGATGTTTACTGGTTGGTACAAAAGTTTCTTGACATAACACCAATTCCTTTGATATACTAATTCACTCTTTTAAAGATAATAGCAGTTGTTGTTTCATGTCTCTACACCTGCAAATAAAAGTTACTCAGCAAATCAATTAATCAAAGAGTAGTATGAAATTGAAGCATGTTAAATTTGAATCCTCTGCGTTTGCACTTGGCGGGTGTGGTAAATTTCTCTATAGTTGTACGACAAGACTTTAAATAATCGTGGCTAAAATATTCACTATATTGTACAAAGGCACAAAGCTTCTCGTGCTAAAAATGAATGCATATTGCGATATTATTTCATATAAACAGTGTTTTTACCTGTATTAATTGCTGCGCCGTTTGCTTCAAATATCGTCTTTGTCAACATTTTGCGAGACGTTTGTTGTCTTTCCCGGACATCTACGACTTGTACTTATTTGAATAGATGGCCGCAGGTCGAAAAATATGTCAAAATAGCAAAAACGACTAGAATTCACTGCAAAATCTCTAAAAACCTATGATTGCTATGACTATTTTTGCGAAAAACAGGGAGGGGGGGGGGGGCTTGGGGTGAAAACTGCAGTGGCCTCAGAAATGAGCCTGGTCAGTGTTATTTTCATGGCCAAAAAGAACCAGTTGCCATGGAAATGGCGTCAAAATCCGCAGTTTTTCTGGCTTCACTTTTTTATCCCGAGCACGTCCTCCAGTAATATAGTATAGCTCAGTGCTTTATCCACGCGTGCCAGCTATGTTGCCATAGAAACACGCGTGATTTCAAGATGGCGTAAACGAAACATTGATCGATATTATCAAAGTTTCACTGTCTATTTTCTACATATTGTACACACTAGTGAACGGGGGCTTTGTATTTCCTGAACAAGGAGACTGATATGCATTGTGTTATGGCGGAATTTTTTAGCCTCGCGACATGTGCAACGAACTTGAAAGATAGAGCAGGACATGTGACGGCCTAAAATTATCTAACAATCAGAAAAATATATATTCTACATACCGCTTCAAAATCACGAAACAACTTCCATTCCCCTTTCCTTTGTTTGTTCTCATTTTTGCTTTTAGTGACGTTAGTAAGTTGGCAGTTTTCATCATTGAAACCTGCTTTGACGTTGAATCCAACACATTTTAATTCATTCATACAAAGGGACAAGCACTTTATTGCGGCCACGTCGACCGAACCACCAACACTATGACTTGACAAGATTTCGTCTGGAGGTAAAGGTGAACCTCCTGTGCGAAAAATGTAGTGGATATTAAGACCTAATTCCACGAAGAGTGAAATGCGAAAAATTTCGCGGGAAAAGGTTAAACGTATGCGCAACATGATTTTGGAATGTTTCTCTGCGAAATATTTCTCATCGCCGGTAGTTGAATTTGTCTTTACTCCGTTGCGAAATGGAAATAGGAAGTGTTGTGTTCAAGTGAGGCCAAAAGCTACTGTTGAAAGTAAAAATCTAACTTAGGCGGCAAATTTTAATATAAAAACTATAAAAATATAAAAATATAAAATTTTAAAAAAATTTTAAAATTTTATATTCCCATATTTTTGTAGTTTTTATATTAAAATATGTACATGTAATACATTCATATAATGCTACTGAAGGACAACGTTTTACGGAAATAGGAAGTCAATCAAATGCTTGTGTTTTGGATGACAAAATAGCGAAACCAATCAAATGCATGTGTTTTGGCGAATTTTCAGGGGCGTAGGAACCGGAGGGCCAGGGGAGCCAAGGCCCCCCAAGTTTTCAAAAGTGCCCTTTTTCGGTGGCAAAATGCCCTTTGTGTTCGTGAAAAATGTTGTTCAGCTTGCATTTTTGCCTCAATGGCCTTTGATCAATGCCAACATTTTCTGCGACATTTCCGTGAAAAAATTTTTCGGTGGCCTTTATGATTGCATTTATTTTTCTTCCCTCCCCCAGGGCCGTAGCGAGAGAGGGTATTGGGGTGTGGTTAACCCCCAACTTTTTTTAAAATTAACATATTCGGAAAATCGGGTTTGGCCATTAGGAAAATTACGGCAATAATATTTCTCACACGTGTGTTTTCGCGTGAAATTTTTCGAATTTCATTCGTCGTGGGGAGTAGGTACCCCCCCCACCACCACACCACCATCCAGCGTCCAAAGGGATGCCGCCAATGACGTCATACCATCAATGACATCATAACCGGAATTACTCCTCAATTATTAAGTATGCACGTTCAGCTATTCCAGAATAAATTATTGGGCATACACGTTCAACTGTGTGTATACGGTTTAAGGTTACCGGACACCTTTTTTGCCGTTTTGCGGAAAATCGCTAATGCGCGCTCAATATCAGTACGATTTTCATCAAATTTTCACCAAATGTTACCCAGTGCATGCAAAATACGGTAAAGTTTTAAATTGCCGAACAATAAAATAATGTAAAAATTATTCAGGAAAATCTTAAATCGCGGTACCGTTACGCTTTTGAGTTGTGTTCCTGCTGGTTTTAAGATATATTTATGAAAATATCATTTTTATACAGTAAAATAGTTGTTCTAAAAAATTGTGTTCGGAAATTTTTGTTTATTTCGTCATTCCGCTGAAATGGTACCCTGCTGGCAGTGGTTTCCGAGCTGAGGAGAAACCACTGCGAGCAAACGAACGACTTTCTATGCGCGAAGATCACGTGGTGGGAAGTCACTAATTTGACTTCATTTCCTGTAGTTTGTTATCTATAGCACTGTTTTATTGTTGTCTGTCAGTTTTAATCGAACGACTTTTTAATTCTACACGCAGTTCACAATTTATGTATCGGTTTTAATCTCGTTATTGCCAGTACTAAAATATTTTGAAATCGGTGCCTCACCCTACGGCTACAAATTGTGCATTTGAATTTCTATTATACCGCATCTTTTTAAAATGTTGTATTTATCCGATCAATATCAATTTCTTTAATTCGGTCTTCAAACTTTATTTGTGTTATTTAAACGTTGGAGATTGTGTTAAGGTTTTCGTTAAATCACAATTCCCAAAGTTTCCAAATAATATATAATAACGTTTCCAATTACTGTTGATTTTGACAATTATTGCAATTTTTGATCGTCGCGACCTCAAGTCCTCAACCGCTACAAATTTCAACTGATCAAAGATCGTCGAGACGGCGCCACTATTTCTGTAAAAGGTTGATTTTTGTTGCAGTGCATAGTTATTCTGCTGAACGCTAGGCGGTTTTCAAGTCATCTTAATGTGTAATTTCTCACATTTTATTCAATATTTTGTGAAGCCGTTATAATATTTTGTAGTATATTTATAGCGTTGATGCTATATTTAGAGCGTGATGTTGTTTTTCAAGTGTACAACTGACTCGCACGTACTTTACCAGCAGTGGCAAGCATTTACCCATGCGCACGACAACAAAAACTTGTCAAACTTGTTTTACCAGTTGAGAATTTATTGTATTCGTCCGTGAATCTCGACGGCGGCTACATGAAACGATCGTTCGTTTGCTCGCAGTGGTTTCTCCTCAACTCGGAAACCACTGCCAGCAGGGTACTGAAATGGCGATTTCTTTGACGACTGCAATATATTTCACATTCGTTTGAGTGAATTACTACTAACTATTAAAATATCCACAATTAGAAAAAAAGCCGAACACAATTTTGAAACTGGCGTCTTTAGCTATGTCCTGTGAAAATGTGAGAAAAATTCGTTAAAACCCGCAGGAGAACAGCTCGTTTGAAAATCAGTAATTGACGTAAAATTCTTTGGGAGAAAATTGATTTGAATATTGCATTTTCAATGCTTTTCTTATTGCAACGAAAAGTATTTTATTAAATAACTCCGCGAGTTTTCAACTTTATTCAGATTTGGTTAGATAGTCTAATGCTTTCATGAAAACCAATAAAAAATTTTTAGGCAAAATTAACACTCAAAGGTGTTCTGTAACCTTAATTGTAAGCATTACGTAATTGTTTTGCGCATGTCTATAAAAGAGACCGCGCGTTTATTCACTGATATCACTGCATACTAAGCCTTTGAAAATGAATTTTTCACAAAATTTTGAGCAATCGAACTGGGCCAACAGTGTTCATGCAGACGAAGTTTCGTCCTCTGATTATAAAAGGCTTTTTAGTTTATTAGAGGCTATATATCGGCACAGGCTGTTGCTTACGAAGTTGGTAAACTTACTAAAGAGAGATGTTCTGGTTGTGAGTACAGAGTACGACCATCCAAGTCAACGCCAGCATGACTGTCTCATGTTATCGGAACAAGAGAGATGGCAATCGTATGGTTTGGAAGCCATAGAGCGAGTGATTGTTAAGCGTATGATTTGGAGGGGGTTTGTTGAGGCTATTAGAGTGATGAAGTTACATGCAGTATCATAAAGATGTTCGTGAGCACTTCGACAGTTTAGAGAAAAGTCCTGATTCAACGTTTGTTTACTCGCTGATGGATCTTCGTGAAAACACTGAGGATAGTGAATTTGAGTAAATTTTAAATTATCTTTCATACTTGTGAGAGGACATACTTTTAGACCAACTTTCTAACTGGAAATAGGATTGCCGTGATGACCTGCTTGAGCCTGGGGCTACGGTCTTTTTTTCGATGCCCCCTAGCTTTAAGTATACTGTGAAGGCGGCAGGCGAGCAACGATTTAGAAGTCATGAAGAGGATCATTATAAGGCATACTTGGAATTTTGAGAAGTAAACTTTGAGATTGAATGATTCAGTGTAAATATGTTAATAAACGAGTTTCGTTTTTATTCTTTTTGTAAATTTGAGGGTTCTTAAAATTACCGGTGTTTTGTGTTTGTCTTTACTGATGCAGCCACATCGAAAAGAATTCGACTTCGACTTTTGTGCAGTGTTGATAAGCGTTGCTTTCCAAATGGTTCCCTCAGGTTTCTAACCAGATCAGTTGATCAAATAGTTTTTCAGCTTTGGGACAATTGAGGCATTCCAAATCTACGGCCGGAATACGGAGATTCGCCAGCAAATCCCTTTCGTAATGTCCGCCTTTGAAGGCAATTGACGATTGTAGAGTTTGTCTATCTGTATTTCACGGTAGAAATTCTCTACAATTGCCTGCAAGTCTGAAATTTGAAATGCTTTGGTACCCCACGGCACTCCAAACGCGAGTTTATGTATATTTTTCTGGACGAAGTTACACGTTCCGTTTTGTCTTTCTCGTTGAGCTCGTTCCAGTGTAAGGCAATGTCAAAAAAGAACGACGAGGTTTCAGAGTTTCCGACCTTTATGACTCCCAACTCCTTACAGAAAAATTTCTTTCCAATTTGAACTTCGTCCATGTCAAGGATCCCAACGATGTATGCTTTACACTGCATGTTGACTGATTGATTGTGATGTGAATTAGATCGTTTAAAACACTAATCTGCGTTTAATTTGGCGTGCGATATAACTATCGCGTGTACAAAACGTTAATCCATATGTTAATTTATGCATGCAGTCAACCAACGCGGTAGCTTTGGCAATAATATTTTGCTCTTAAAATCAGTGCGATTTCGTTTTACCCCTTTATCTCCCTTTTGAGCGCGCATGCATCGGAACATTTTAAAAACTTTGGGAAAGATTGTGATGCAACTCTTGATGAACGTGAGGTGGAGTTTAAGCCTTTGCTTCAAGGTGGGAAATAAGTTTTGTTTAAAACATAAATATCAGTATTAGTTTATGTGTGAATTAGGATGTTTAAAATACGATTTATATAGATCAGACTTCATCCTCGCGACCTGCGCGTGGAATCGTCGCGTTTACTGTTCGGCAAAAGTATTGAAACAAGCCGCGGGAAATTTTTTGGCGTTTTTATCTACAAAGAAAGCTCCAGTTTTTCATTATAATCCTAATTTTTTGTGAATTCGAACAGTACGTATGTTATTAACTAGTTTAGCCAATCTTTTAGTGTGTTTTTACGTATTTACGTTCAGTATTGTCTTTCATATTGCTCAAAACTTTCAACTTGTTGTGTTGCGAGCTGTCAAACTGAAACGATACTGTCTTCTATAACTCTTGAACAGTAGTGAACTGTCGCCGAAACTTATGTAAGTTCTGTCAATCAATTCAATTCACAGGTATCGTTTTATCTGCTAAATCAAATAAAACAGTTATGAGTTGTTTTATACGAAAAGTTAAACTTGTAGTTCGATGTTTTGAAAAGTTTTCACACCGATTTTAACAACAAAAACAAATGTAAACTAGCACTGGATTTAATACAATGCGTATAATAGTGTTTTTATTAGTATTT